AAAGTTATCGATTGACATGAGGAGGGGGTGTCTGTTGCGCTCACATCTCTCTGCTCCTTCCTTATCATACCCTCTAGGTTATACACTCCCAGTAGGTGAGTGGGCTGAAGAACGGGCCTGAGGATGCAAGAGCCCCGGGTCCTCATCACAGCAGTACTTTCTGCTCGGGGTCTCCTTCCTCTGCTGGGGTAGAGAATCCAGATGAGCAGAAACTGGACAGGGGTCTTTTGTGAACTGGCACAGGAAAGGCATTCAGTAAGTGCCGTTTGAATGAATGAATGAGTGAGTTGAGTATGTGAATGAGTGAATGAATGCATGCGTGCATGAACCACCCCGGGGGACAGCCCATTTACTAGACCCCAAAACCCAGCATCCAAAGGCAGTGCCTTCCTCACCCATGTTAGGTGAGAACTTCAGCCATCCCGAGCGGGCAGAGCTCTCAAGGTCTTCGCATGCTCTGTTCTGTGGGCTGAAGGAAACACAGCCCCACTGACTCCCAAAATTCACTCTTGGAAGGGGCAGCTGCCCTTCACAGACAGCAGAGGCTGCTGCTGGCCACACCCACCAGGTCCCAGGATATCTGTATATGCACATCCTTATTTGCCAAGAGTAATGAAATTATTTGGCAGTCGGGCTAGATTTGAACACAAAGCTACTTACAAAGACTGAGGGTGACTTTTCCCCAGAACAGAAATCAAAGTCATTTCCTAGTTCTGGGCATTCCGGGATCCCCCTACCCCTGGCCTGACTCAGGGTCCTGTAGGATCATGCTACCTGTTTCCCAGTCAAGTCCTGGTGTCACCATGGTGTCTGTGGAGGGCAATTCCCTTTTGATCTTTTGGGACATACACGACAACAAGGAATGAGGAGTCCAGGGGCTATCTTGGAAAACTAGCAGAAAGGTGCAAGAATCTTGAAAAAGGCAAAAATGCACACATACTGACCGGACTGAACTCACAAGCCTGTCTTTGTTTGCCAACATCCTTGCTCTTCTTCTGAAAATTTCTCTTCTTACTTTCTCTCAAGCGGTTCTTTGTAAGTCTCAAGAGCAAGACAAATTGCACTACTGAGACTAATGGTTTACTAAAATTTATAACATAGAGAATTGCAGCCTTTAAAAAATAAAATACATCTTCAAGATCATTCCATCCAGTCATCTTAGCAAGGAAGGAATGGAGGCCCCAGCTCCTCAGGGTGACCACGGTCAGGTGGAGACAAGGGTCACAGGGCCCCCATTGCCACTCTCCTCATCATTTCTGTATTAATTTCATCTTTACAACAGGAGCTTTGCCAGTGCAATTCTTCACAGCAACGTTCAGATGCAAGAAATGTTTTGAATAAAAGACAAGTATGTATGAGTTTCTTGTGCTCCAGGGCAGGCAAAGGTTTGCTTCAGACATGTGACACTTAAAATCCTACACCAAGCAGACATCAGTCCTGCTTTGCAATGACTGCAAACTAAAAGAGATTCCCTCACTGGATCACATGCTTGGATGTGCATTTTCACCACTGTGCTGTTGCCCCCACCCCGGCAGCAGTAAACAATCCTGTCCTCTAGAGTCATTTCAGAGCCCTGATGGCATGGTGGTTAAGAGCTATGGTGAGCTACAGCTGCTAATTGGCAGGTCAGCAGTTCAAATCTACCAGCTGCTCCTTGGATGCCCTATGGGGGCAGTTCTACTCTATCTGACAGGGTCGCTATGAGTTGCAATCAGCTTGATGGCAATGGGTTTGGTTCTGGTTTTTTTTGTTTTTTTTTTAAGAGTCATTTCGTTACTTGGCGGAATGCAACAGAATGTTAAGGGAAAGAAAAAGAAGCAGGAAATAGAGGATGATAGCAGCTTTTTTAAAAAAACGCATGTATCGATGTATATCACAAGCTATCCACAACGCAGAGAGAAAAGAAAAGGCAAGAAGAAACTACAATGAAATGTGGGGATGGTGGAACTGGTGCTTTTACTTTTTTCTTTAATTTTTTTGCGGTTTACAATTTTTGTACAGTGAATATCTATAACTTTTATAAACTTAAAAATGTATCTTTTGAAAATAAGTTTTCTTCCAAAATCAGCATGTGCAATACTGATAAACCTCCAACACCTGGAGGTAGACTGTAGCAGGTAAGGGTGTGGACTCTGGTACCAGCCTGCCTGGTTCAGAATCCACTAGTCCACTACTCACTCTGTGATCCTGAGCGAGACCCTTCATTTGCTTGTAATTATTATATCTTTATTATTATTGTGGTAAATATATATGTAACAAAACAATTACTATTTCAATATTCTTTGCATGTACAATTCAGTGACATTAATTACGTTAATCATGTTGTTCATCCATCACCATTATCCATGTCCAAATTTTCCCATCACCTTTAACAGAAGCTCACTATCCCCTAAGCAATGAGTTCTCCTTCCCTCCTCCCCTGCAACCCCTGTGTTTTCGTTAGGTGCCATCAAGTCGGTTTCCGACTCATAGACACCCCATGTGACAGAGTAAAACTGTCCCCATAGGGTTTTTCTTAGCTGTGATCTTGAAGGCAGCAGGTCGCTGGGACTTTCTCCCACGAAGCTGCTGCTGCGTGGATTCAAACCACCAATCTTTTCAGTTAGCACCTGACTGCTTAACTGTTGCACCACCAAGGCTCCTTCCCCAGCCCCTAGTACTACTAATAAAATTTGATCTCCATACATTTGCTTACTCTAAATATTTCATATAAGTGGGATCACCTAATATTTGTCCCTTTATAACTGACTTGTTTCACTTAGCATGTTTTCAAGGTTCATCCATGTAGTAGCATGTATCAGAACGTCATTTCTCTTTATGGCTGAGTAATATTTAAATACGTATATACACATATATGAATATATATACATATATAAACAAAATTATATATGTATAAGCGCACATACATATATATAGAGATAAATGGATAAACAAAATTATATATTCATGTATATCGATGGACATTTAGATTGTTTCCACCTTTTGACTATTGTGAATACAGCTGCAATAAACATTGGTATACAAGTATCTGTTTGAGTCCCTGCTTTCAAGTCTTCTGAGTATACAACTAGGATTGGGATCGTTGGGTCATATGGTAGTTCTATGTTTAACTTTTTGAGGAACCGCCAAACTTTTCCATAGCAGCTGTACCATTTTACAATCCCACCAGCAATGGATGACGATTAGCTTTTAAGTATTATCACTAACATTCATTCAGAGCCTTCTAAGTGCAGGACCTTGTGTGAAACTGTCTGCTCGAATTAGCTCAACATGACTTTATAATTAGCATGCATTATCGCATAGGGTTGCTATGAGTCTGAATCAACTGGATGGCATACTACATCACATAGGATAGTTGAAATATCAGATGCAACAATGTGTTTATAAACAATGCATGTTCATTTTATTGTCTGCCCTCTGGGGCATTTCATTTTAATAGCGTTGAAGAATTTCTATTAAAATATTCCTACATCCAAAAAAGTTAAGCACAGACTTTTGGACCTGGTCTTGTGTCCAAGATGCATTTTTTCTTGCAAATTCTGCTAACCCCCGAGGCTCAGACAGGGGTCTTTGCAGCAAATTCTGATCAGACAGTCAAGTTTCTTCAAGGCTGCAGACTTTTCATGTTCTACAAGGGCCACTCGGCCAGCAGGAGGGTCTGTGTTTTGCTGAATTTACTCACTTGGAGGTACATTTTAGTGTAATTATGCTCATTTATGTTCATTATGGTGTGTTGTGACATCATGGTCGTTACGCATACACCTACCCATACTAAATGTGCCCTCTGTGAGGAAAACCTCAAGATTTTTAGTAGGAAATAGGTAAAACATATATGAAACTTGGGCACACCAACAGCTGAGTTACTTCATTGGTCCTTTAATCAAGAGGAAGTATTTTCAAGAACTAATAAATGTGGAACAAGATGCCTTCATTATGGGCAGAGAGTAATCCAGCCTGTCTGGTCCCCTTTTCATGCTACTGCTTTCACAATCTGGAGAGAACTTAAAAAGCAGCACCCAGCAAAGCCCATCTGTCACCTCAGGACTGCTGATAAGTCAGCAGAATTTACTTCCTGGGAAAACAGCCCAACACCACTCCTTTCTCCAGAAGGCTAGGCGGACGGCATGGCAGGGTGCGAGCCTAGCGAACAGCAGGCATATCCAACGCGTATTTATTCCCTCTGGTGAAAGTGACTGCGGAGCTGGGCGAAGGGAATGAAATCAAGACAAGATTGATCTAATTAAAAAAAAGATTTTGATAACAGCTCAGTCGTTTTTTCCCCTAGATTTTTCTTAAAGACAGCCGTTGCTTGGAAAGTTTTTGAAAACATGTTTCTTCGCTATGTCTTTAAATGGGATTGTGAATAGCAGCAGTTGGCATAGTCTGACGTGGGAAGAGAAAACCCAAAATAGGTAACAGATGCTAGGCCCCTGTGGGAATTGCTCACATCTATTTATGTCGGTGCTGCCTTCCAATTTTCACTCAGATCTTTTAAGTTCTATCACAATCATGACACAAGAATGACTCATGCTTAAATATAGTCATCAAGTGTCACACTTGATATTAATACCTTTGTAATATTACTGTAAACCCAATTCCCTGTATCAGGGTTTTTAAGAGGAAGAACTTCCCATCAGCAGTCTGCCACCGTCCTCTGGGGACCACAAAGGGCAGCGCCTGCAGAAGCCAGGTTCACCGTGCCGGGAGAGGCTAGCTGATCCTGCAAGCTGTTCAGATAAGCAGCTGTCAGGAAGGAGAGGGCCGTGGGGGAGGGGAAGAGACCGGGAGGGGCAAGCCTTCAGCTACTGTCCTAATGGCTTATCTCAAGCGTGCCTGTCTTGCAAGTTTTTAAATCTTCCTAAAAGGAGAGAAAAGCCATCAGGGGCTTCCAGCTCAACCCTAACTCTTCACCAGCGTCCCCTGCCCCATATCCAGCGCCCCAGAGCCTATAACGTGCCCAACAGGAAAACAGAAACAGGTGCCCTCGGTTCCAAGTTTTCAGTGATCATCTGAAACCCGTGACCACCCTCCCCAGCAGCAAAGACTCCCTTGCCCTCAATAAAGAGAATAAATGTGTTTCAGTAAGTTTATTGTAAATTCAAAGCTTCCACAGCTGCATCCTTTAAAACACGAATCATCGCCCAGATCCGTTTTGAAAAGGCAGCGCAAGTCTGCTGAGTTCGTCACAAATCCTGTAACTGTATTGAGTTCACAGTCGCCTCGCCTTTCCCCTAGTTCCTGCAGGCGCGGGCTGCTGAGTCACGCCTGCTCAGCCAGTCCTCCTTCCCAGCCGCCTGCCGCCGACGTCCCAGCCTCGGCCTTCGGGGAGCAGCAGCTCCTGACACTTGCAAAGTTCCTCAGCTCCAGGCGAGCCTGCCTCTCGCCGCCGCCGCCGCGGCCCACTCCTGCTCACCCTTCTCCAAGCGCCACCGCCTGCCAGTCCAACGACTCATTCCGGCTCCCTCCTAGGGCTGAATCGCCAGACTCAGCCACGCGTTAGGCGCCCGGTGCATCACGCCACGTTGATCAGACAAAGGTCTCCGCGACAGGACCGTCACTCGGGGAGGGGGATACTGGGCACCCAGTCGTTGACGCTGCGGCTCTCCTCGCAGAACAGACTGAGCTTCTCTAAGGCGGGGTCTTTCCACGCATCCTCATTGGGGTTCTGCACAGAAAGGGCACGGGCAAAGTTAGCCTGGCTGCAGCTGGCGGGCTGGGGCCGGGGCAGCGGCCGGGGAAGGGCACTCACCGAGATGAGGATGCAGTGCAGGTCGCCTGGCGCGCCCGCCTCGTCGCCCGCGCCCACGATGGCCGCCAGCCGCTGCACGTCGCCAACCCGCACGATGTCAATATCGTTCTCGCAGCAGAAAGCCTGGATGAGCGTGAAGTGGATCTGCAGCGCGATGTCGCCCTCGTCCTCCTCGTCGGCGGCCAGCACACAGAAAGTTACGTTGTCGGGGTCCCTGCGCGGGCGGAGGAGGCGAGGTCAGGACCCGCACGGGCAGGATCTCCCCGGCGCCCCCGCCCGTCAGGCAGCGTCTATACTCACACGTTCAGGACCTTGGCGGACTCGTACACGCCGGCGGTGAGGCAGCCCTGGCGCTGTGCGGACAGCAAAAGGTCGTGCAGCGCTTTCCCAGCGCTCTGCATCCTGCGGGCGAGGCGGCATGGTGAGCGGAACGCAGGGATCCGGCGACAGGCGCCCCATCCCCCGACCAGGTGCCCGCACTCCCGGCTCGCCTGCAGCCGCCTGGCAGACCCGCCCCCGGTGCAAGAGGCTCTCAGCTCCCTCGGGCCCCACAGGCTGAAGCCGGCAAGCCGGGGCCATGCCAGGCTCTCATTTCCCCAAAACGCCCGGCCCCCAGCGCGGACTCACCTGGCCGTGCTTTCTGGGACTGTCTCCTGGCCGCGGACTTCCTCCAGAGTCATGATTCTGTCGGACAGCAGCAAGTTATCCACCAAAGAAAAAAGACGAGACAGTAGGGGAACTGCGGAGCTGTAAGCCACCAACCCCGGCGCGCACACTACCAGTAACTGCAGCGTTGGTGCCGCTGCACGCTCTTATATAGGCCCGGGGGCTCGCGGCACCGCCAGCTTGCGCGAGGCTACGCGCCGATTGGCCGCTGCAGGCTTTCTGATGCAAATGAGGCGGCGGGCTGACAAGGCTCGTGCCAGAAGGCCACGTGGGGAGGGGTGTGGGGGATTACAATGCCTCAAATCTGCCGCTTTTGTCAGGGTGTTACCAGGCAGACTGCAGCCTGCAGATTTCATCTCGCCTTTTTTTTTTTTTAAGTCCTTAAAAGGAAATAGAAGGTTTAAAAAGAAAAAAAAAACCCGTTTACTAATATGATTCTGCAATTTGTGAAATGCACCTGTGGATAATTAAAAATAGTTTTTGCATTTGTTTTTATATTGCTACCTTCTTAATTTTTCTTTCCTTTTAATTTGAAGTTTATGAGACCGTTGCCTTTAAACTGGAAATTAAAGTAAAAGCATGCAGCACTGCTTTTTAGCTTGCAGAAGGCGGTGAGCAAAGCCCTTTCCAGCTCACTCCGGCTGCTCCCGGAGTTAGAAGTCGATCCCTGCAATGCATATTTAATCCCCGACGGGGACTGCGGCTGGAAGGTCTGTGCAGACTTCCGCTCGGGTGGCCTGGCCCCGCGGGGCGCCTAGGCGAGCGAGCAGATTGCCGGCGGCACACGCGGCTCGTTTGCATTTCTATGGGGGGCGCACAATAGCGGAGGTCTGGCGTGTGGCGGCTTGGAGGTGGGACAATCGATGCTTTCTCTTCATAGCAACACTGTCCACCTGCTGCCGGGTAGGGCTGGGCAGGGCCCCGCCGGCTCGTGGGGGTCGCCGGGCTGCTCCCGGGCCGGGGCCGGGGTCTGCTCCTCCTTCACCTTGGTGCGGGACTTCCCAGCGTTCACGCCGGCGCTGCCGCCAGCCCACTCACCCGCTCTCCTCCCCCCTCCCCGCTCCAGGGGTCTGACTAAGCCTGCCGCACTTGGCCCGGGCGTTTGCAATGATAATTGAGCTCGGTCAGTTCAAGGCACACGTGCAGGGCAGCCGCGCGAGTTGAAAGGAACCTGTTAGCATAGAAGGTTGGCCCGGGTCTGCTGCGCCGTCTATGTGGCCCAGGTTCCCCGCTGGCCCCGACCCTGCGGCCCTGGAGGGCAGCAGACCCTAAGCCCAGGGCTGCACTACACGCTAGCGTGCAGGCCTGGGAGGAGTTTCGGGCATGCAACTCTGCAATCCCTTCTCCCGGGGCGCCATCTAGAGGTCGGCCAGAAAGATCCTGCGCCCCCCCGACCGACCTTCCATTGCCCTTCTGAGGCATGGACATTCTTTCCCTTTCCTCCGTTTCTGGTCCCTGCTCACCGGACAGCGCCGGCAGGACCTGGCTCAGCCCCGAGGAAGCTGCGCATAATGGAAAGCAGAGTGAGGGCTGTGAAGCCCACCCAGGTCTGGCCGGGTTGAGGGAGGGGGAGGCGATGGAAAAGGAGGCTGCCATTCGTGCACTGATCGAATAAAAACCCCCTTGCCGTCCAGTCAGTGCAGACTCGTAGCGACCCTAGAGGACAGATTAGAACTGCCTCATAGGGTTTCCAAGGAGCGGCAGGTGGATTCGAACGGCCGACGTTTGGGTTAGCCGCCGAGCTCTTCACCAGTGCACCACCGAGGCTCCACTGATGGAATAAGAAACCTTCTTATATTATTTTGAAAATTTTCAATTGTTTAATTATACACACATAAACGCCAGTACCGTTGAATCCACTCGGTTTGCACCACTTAAGGAAAAAAAAAAAAAACAACCTGTTGCCGAAGAGTCGATTCGTACTCATACAGGAAAGAGTAGAACTGCCCCATAGAGTTTCCAAGGAGGCGCTGGTGGATTCACTGCTGACCTTCTGTTTAGCAGCCTGAGCTCATAACCACTGCGCCACCAGGGCTCCACCACCCAGGGACGCATTTAAATATACATATATAAAAAGCTTGTTTTCAGGACTAGAATAACGAAACAAAGCGATCTTGAGAGAGTTTAACAGAAATTGCTGGTATTTGGCCTCTTTTGACATACAAACCCGCACTTCATAGAGTCCAGTCACTAAGGTCATTGTTTTTGGTATCAACATCTTTCTGTACTGTGTTGACACGTGCGCGGGGGGGGGAGGGGGTTCTCTTTTTTTTCTGGGGGAGGCCTGAAAGACTTGGGGCTAGGGCAGTGAGCAGGCCATTGGGTTCTCTGGACCTAGGGGAAGACAATGGATAACAAAAACAGTCTAGTGTTCTTTGTTTTCTTTGCTGACTTGTAAAATTCAGACTTTCTCCAGGTGGGTGGTGGATATGCAATGTATTTCTGAACTTCGTAAAACCCATTGCCTTC